GCAGCGCAAATGAAATAAAAAGCACCACCCGGGAGGTGGCAGGGTGTCTTGAGGCCAACAAGCCAAAGATGCGCCTGCCCGAAACCAGACGCAGAAAGTTAGCGGCGCTGCAACCCGCTATAATAGTGGGCCGCAAGCGCAAAGAAGTAGTTGCGGGTGCAGGTCTCCGAACCCTAAGGTTCAAGGGTGTCAATTCACCAATAAATCCCCCAAAAGGAGGAATAACCCCGCCCGCAACGATCATCCGACCCCCAAAGGGTCCCGGTTGAAGCCAAACGCTGTAGGGTTGTGCTTCAAAAACGATGCAATATCCCCAAGAGAAAGCAGGATATGCTGACCGGGATGCGAGTGCCACAACCCACACAGTGCAGCCATGAGGCTCATTGATCTTGAAGTGACGGTAATACGCTCCAATGGGCATGTGGCCAGTTATACACCAGCAGACATGAGCGAACTCAGTGATACTGTGTCCGAATGTTGAAAGCCAAGGTCCCCCATTGAGGTACGATGGCTGTAGCGGCTGCCCGTCAGGCTGTTGAAGCTCTAAGAATTCAGAGCCTCGGTAAGTTGGATCCTGGAAAGTGGAACTCCACAAGTCCAGGACTGAGTGCGCAGCTCGGGAGCGTAGCGCGTCTATGGAGTTGTCCGTCTTGCAATGGCCAACCCTGACTTTAAGCTCGGTGACATACTTGTGTGCCTCACCATGGACATCCCACCGCAATGCAGATGGAACGTAAACGAAGGTGATGCGGCCTGTATAATCACAGTCCTGACATGTGAGTATACCCTGTTTAAATACAGTATTTGATACAGATTTCTAGCAGACATGGCTGTGCTGGTCTCATCCCCGTCCACCTTATGTTGCAGAAGTTGGCAACGCACATGGTGTACCATGTCACCACCCTCTCAGACACTCACCCTCTTCACTCCATGTTGGGCAAGAGACTTCTTAAATGGGCTGAACCACATGCCCGCTTGATGACCCCAGCTATGTGAGGAAAAGTCAAGAGCACTGTCATGGAGGTGGACAAGCATGTCCACACCTTAACTGAGAGCTTCGAGCCCTTTGCACCCAAAGCTCACCCTGGTGATCAGTTACTGGACCGCTTTGCAGACCGTCTCCACTTTGACGAGCGTGACCCTACTCAGGATAGGCGACCATATCTCGACGAGCTCATCGCGAAAGTGAGGGCCGATCCTTTAACAGTACTGGCTGCAACTGATGGCTCTGTCCCTCAGTCCAACCAGTATCAGGCGGCCTAGGCTGCCATCATCTACAAGGGACATCGCGAGCTTGAAAGGACTCACTATATCTCTGGCAGTGTCACCGCCCCTGATGCGGAACTCAACGCCATCACGTGTGCAGTGCACCTTGCCGTCAAGCAGGCAGACTGCCAACATATCATGGTCTTCACTGACTCCATGGGCTCGGCCCACAGGGCAGTAGACCCCTCTGTACATTCTGGCCAGGCTTTTAGTCTGTCAGCCTGTCATGCTCTCCAGGCGTGGTTCAAGGCGGACAATCTCTGCCGCATGACTCACTATGTCTCTGGCAGAGTTACTGCCCCAGATGCGGAACTCAATGCCATCTTGTGTGCAGTACGCCTTGCCGTCAAGCAGGCAAACTGTCAACATATTATGGTCTTTACTGACTCTATGGGCTCAGCCCATAGAGCGGTCGACCCCTCTGTGCACTCTGGTCAGGCTTTTAGTCTGTCAGTCTCCAAGAGTGGTTCAAAGCGGATGACCTCCGCTGCATCACCTTTGTCTACGTTCCATCTGCTCTGCGGTGGGATATCCATGGTGAGGCACACAAATATGTCACTGAACTTAAAGTCAGGGTTGGACATTGCAAGATGGACAACTCTATCGACGTGCTCCGCTCCAAAGCTGTGCACTCAGTCCTGGATTCGTGGAGCTCCACTTTCCAGGATCCAACTTACCGAGGCTCTGAATTTTTAGAGCTTCAACAGCCTGACGGGCGGCTGCTACAGCCATCGTACCTCAATGGGGGACCTTGGCTTTCAACATTCGGACACAGTATTACTGAATTTGCTCGTGTCTGCTGGTGTATAACTGGCCACACGCCCATTGGAGTGTATTACCGTCACTTCAAGATCAATGAGCCTCATGGCTGCACTTGCGGGGCTGCTTTGCAGTCCTGCCAGCATGTCCTCTTTCACTGCCACAATTGATACTCTGTACACTATCCCCGTTTTCTCGGGGATATTGCATTGTTTATGAAGCACAACCCTTTGGTGTTTGGCTTCAACCGGGACCCCTCAGGTGTCGGATGATCGCTGCGGGCAGGGTTGTTCCTCCTTTCAGAACCAAGCTCTAGGGCTCGAAGACCTGTGCCAGCTTCACTTATTTGCGCTTGTGGCCCACTAATATTGCGGGTTGCAGCACTGCTAACCTTCTGTGTCTGGTTTCAGGCAGGTGCATCTTTGGCTTGTCGGCCTCAAGACACCCTGCCACCTCCCAGGTGGTGCTTTTCTATTTCATTTGCACTGCGTGGCCCCCGAACAGCAATCGACGACTTTGGGGCATAGCGAAACCTCGATGGTTTCGCCCCCTTATCCTGATGCACCGCTTTTGCGAGGTGGGTTGCCCTCTGGGAAGCTTTGGTGTACACACCAGAAGGGTCTTGGTTGGGGGGGGGTCGTGCTTTAGTGCTTAACCCAGTAACCGGGCTGTGTAGTGTACATGTCTGTAGATAGCGAGCGGCCTGCCATCAAGCACCGCTATATAAATTGTTGATAAAAAGAAAAAATGCTGTTGCAATAGCATCGGCTAGAGCTTCAACGCCTTCCTTGGTAGCCAGGGCTGCCACTGGAATAGCTGCAAGGTCCCGGAGAATGTCCAGAATGAAAGATGTCTCAGCCTCACTTCCGGATTTAATTGTCTGTCACCCAGATCCAGGCAGTTCAGGACCGATATCAAGATCCGTGCAGATCAGGACATGATCTGACGGACCCTGGAGATTGTGCTCCACGCTGGGCATCAAGATTAAGATCTTAGATGGAGCTAAGAATACAAGATCCAATATGTTGGATCTATGGTTTGGATTGTTAAATGTCTAAAAGTGACCACATCAGGGATTGAACCTGGGACCTCCTGGTTTCATGCACAGGTGCTCTAACCACTGAGCTATATGGTCTATGTTCAATATGAGTTGGATATTGGTTATATACCCAAGAATGAACATGACTACTCTGCCATTCTAGTGCACTGCATGGGCTGGCACTAGGCTTTACTTGAGTAGTTCAGAGGTTCTTACCATGTTAGTATGGCTTGACATGTCACCATCTAACATGGATTAGGACTGATCCTCGTTGGTCCATGGTTAGAAGGTCGTGCCCACTCGAGGCCGATCTGAGATGCGGTGTCCCACAGGGATATTGCTGTCGACGACTCGCCATGCTCATAGTCATCCCAAGTTGTCGACACACAGTTGAAGTCGCCTGCCATATAAATGAAAGGTGGCAGAGAATGCACACGAGCAGTGAGGTGCTCAATGGCTGTGTGTTGATTGTCAGAATAGATGTTCATGAGATTAAGAACCTCACCCCCACTAAAGAGGAAGAGGACGAGGATGTTGCGATGGTCGACAATGTTGCGGCGCATAGCGGGACGATAGCGGGAGAGCCTAGTCGAAACATAGGCAATTACATGGGCAACTTCCCCTTCCTTAATGCACACCATTTGCAACCAGTCTGGATGTTTCGGTGCGCCAATAACCTCATTGCCCTCCATGCTAGTGGTGGATGGTGCATGTCTTATGAAATTCCAGGGTGTTTCTTGGAAAAATAGAATATCAAATTTTGATTTACAAATTTTGAGAAGAGTGTCTACATGTGCATATGTATGATGAATGTTCTGACAGTAAATATGTGGCCCACTATTTAGGTCCTGAGGGTTGCCCTTCATTAGTCTAGGTTTGGGGGTTAGTAAGTTGGCAGCGAGTGGTGTGCTCACGTACCTGACGATACTTGGCCATGATCCACTCACAGTCATAGCGATGGGCCCAGAACTTGCACAAAGCCAAGTTGGCAGTGTGGTCCTTGTGGCAATTGACACAGCGGCCTTTGTGGGGGCAGGGCTGGTCATGAGGGGTGGGCAGCACAGGGGCTTTGCTTTCGCGTTCCCCTTGCAACATCCCACATGTTGGTGATGTTCCTTCTGCTTGTGTGGACCTGAGCAGATAGGGCAGCTAAGCTGCTTCACCTTGCAGGCAACAGTGGGGTGGCCCCACTTCCAGCAGTGCTGGCAGAGCGGGACCCCCAGTGTGTGCAGTGTGTCGACGCAGCGCGGCCTGATTGGCCTAAGGCCTTCTTGGCATGGGTTCCCTGCTGGCAGTCCCAAATGTTGCAGTACACGGTGCACAATGTCAAGTGCGCCGAGTTGCGATTGATCCAAGGCTTGGTGCTCAGATACGCAAAAACCTCAGCATGAACTGAGGGCCTTCTCAGCGCCTCCTGGGTGATCTTCAATCCTTTGGGGTCGAAGTAGGGAACGTTGAGAATCTTAATGAAAGATGTTGACAAGGGGAGCGCAACCTCAAACAGGGTACCCATTGGGAGGCTTTCACAAATAAAGTTGCACAGTATGTCCAGGTCGGACAGGCTGGCGACAGCAGGGGTGACCAACGACAAGCCATCGTAGGCACAGACAATGGAGGTGACCTTTAACATGGAGTGGCCATCTCTGAGATACCCATTGGCTGCATGGACGGCCGATTTGGTGAAGAATTTCATGAGGTCAGGAGGGGTACCCCCGAATGACACAAGAACCTGCTTCTGGGTGGGGCCCTTGGAAGTAAAAAAGGGGACGGAGCGATGAGGGGAAGTCTTCATCGGCCCTGTCGGGAATGAGGGTGGGGGGGAAGGCCCGCGACATTGCAGTCCCAAGCCAGAAGGCGGGGGAGGCATCAGAGCGGCCTGTCAGGCAATCCCTGCCCACGTTGTCGGACAGGGCTTGGGCTTAGTAGCACCGTTGATCAGCAGAGGCAGACCAGGGCAGGAGTAGGCAACCTTGCTCTTCTTCTGAGGAGGGGGCGGCACTGGACGATCAACACCCTTACGCTTCTTGGAAGCAGGGATGCGAGAAGGGGAGGCCGGGCGACCTAGGTTGTCCAATGCCTGCATGAGGACGTCAGAAGAAACTCCAATGCCAGCCCCCTCATCAAGCAGCCCACGGGCAGCAGGGGGAGGAGGTCAAAAAAGGGAGCTGGATGGATAGTCGGCTCATCCTTGGACAACGTCTCAGCCTCGAGAAGGGAGGCAAGCAAGAAGTTGTCAAGTTCGCCTGGTCCGCAAATACGACTAAAGTCGGTGGCCATGACGGCGTTCACAAAGGACGTCATCTGAGCCACGAAGACATCACCCCCATCGATGGAGAGCAGATCGTGATGCGCAGCCTGCAGAATCCAATCTGTGGCCCTCGCAACAGAAGTGGTCAACACCTCGAGGTCCCCTGAAAGATCCTTGACTGTGTCTTGGAACTTCAAGGGATATTGACCCAAAAGTTGGTCGACAGAGGGGTCCCTCGAGACCTCTTCGCCTTCCTGAGTGCCCTCAACCTCCATCTCCTGGGGGTGGGCCGTCCCTGAGTCAGACTCATCTGCGGATGAATGGGCAGAACCCGTGGTGGAACAGGACCTGCAGCAAGGCGACGTGTGGCAGGATCGAGCCAGCACAATGGTCGAGTATGTGGCCCTAGTTGCGGTAGGGTCTGGCAAGATTGGTGAGGCACCACCACCCAAGGATGATGAGCCAGCGACTGATGTTGGTGGGTGAGTTGGTGGGGCAGAGCCTGAGCCCCTGCGACGAATCCCAGGGGGTCTCATGCCCTGACCTCTTGGTGGGAGGTCAGACATGGTTTGCGATTGCGGTACGAACGATCAAAAGGGGGCTTCTGGCTTGTCGATAAAGTGCTAGACAATGTGCGAGACAGTGAGCTGGTTGTTTGTGCTTGTTGACAAGTGGGCGCTCAAGAGAAAGAGGCATGCAGCTAAGCTGCTTCGCCTTGCAGGCAACGGTAGGGTGGCCCCACTTCCAGCAGCGCTGGCATAGCGAAACCCCGGTGTGTCGCACAGTGGGCCTAATTGTGCAGGACTGCCCAGCGAGGAAGATCAGTTGGCCAAGGGCCTGGTCTGTCAATAGTCCGAGTGCCAAGATATTGCAATATGTGCATTTTTGGGTTTTTTGGTGCAAACCAGTAATTTAAATATGCAGCCATGAATAATCAATGTGCATCTATGAACTCTACATTTGCTAAAGACCTTTTGTATCCTATATAATGCTGCCAAGGTGTTCCAGTGCTCTGGCCCTTGCCAGGGGTAGAGATTTGAGTGCACATTTTCAGCTTCTTTTAGAAATCAGCACTATTTAGTCAATTGTGCACGATAGTGATATTTTGGGACCAATATACCTGAACATTATGACTGCTCATGAGTGCAGATTTTTTTTAGCTAGGGGATGTCTGGGAGAGAGGCCAGTGAAGCCACATTTTCATATTTTTAGGGGTGTGAAGCATTAATTTGACTGTAGATCTACCAAATCTGGGAATTTTCCCATGTTCAAGACTGTTAAGTGTGAACAGGTAGGGGAACACACAAGGCAACAGTGTGCCAAAGATGAGCAACTCAGGATAAGGGACTGAGGAGATATGAGGCTCTGAAGTCTGGAGTGAGAAACTAGTCATATTGGATAATACAGGATAAACTACTTGCCTGAAGTCCAGAGTGAGAAACTGGGGACTTTAGGCATCTGACAGCAGTCATATATATACTAAAGAACAAAGGGAAACCCAAATGGAGACTGGGAACAATAAGAATGATGAAGGTAACCAAGTGGATCTGGGATCTGATCTGTGATCAGATGCAGATGCAGAGATCAGATGAATCTACAGATGTATCTAGATAAGATGAGATAGAATGAGGATAGATCTAGACCACTTCACCTCTTTCTCTCGAACGCCCACTTGTAAACATGCACAAACAACCAGCTCATCGTCTCGCACATCGTCTACCGCGTTATCTTACAGTCAGACCACTCCGCCTGAACGTTTGCACCGCATTCGCAAACTATGTCCGACCTCCCACCGAGAGGTCGGGGCGCGAGGCCCCCTGGGGCGGTTCCTAGGAGCCGTCGTGGGGGGGACTCGGGCTCCGCACCACCAGCAATACCACCATCGGTCGCTGGCTCATCGTCCTTTGGCGGTGATGCCTCGCCAATCTCGCCAGACCCTACCTCGACTAGGGCCACATACTCAACGTTGTGCCAGCTCGATCTCGCCACACGTCACCCCGCTGCAGGTCCCGTTCCACCACGGGTTCCACCCATTCGTCCGCAGATGAGTCTGACTCAGGGACGGCCCACCCCCAGGAAATGGAGGTAGAGGGCACCCAGGGAGGGGAGGAGGTCTTGAGGGACCCCTCTGTTGACCTACTTTTAGGTCAATACACCTTGAAGTTCCAAGACACAGTCGAGGATCTTCCTGGCGATCTCGAGGTATTGACCACCTCCATTGCAAAGGCCACAGACTGGGTTCTGCGGGCGGCGCACCACAATCCACTCACCATCGATGGGGGCGATGCCTTCGTGGCCCAGATGACGTCCTTTGTGAACGCTGTCATGGCCACTGACTTTAGTCATATTTGCGGGCCAGGCGAACTCGACAACTTCTCACTCGCCTCTCTTCTCGAGGCTGAGACGTCTTCCAAGGACGAGCCGACCATCCACCCGGCTCCCGTTTTCAGGCCTCCTCCTCCTGCTGCCCATGGGCCGCTCGATGAGGGTGTCGCTGGCATAGGAGCCCCGCCCGATGTCCTCATGCAGGCATTAGACGACCTTGGTCGTCCGGCCTCCCCTTCTCGCATCCCCGCTTCCAAGAAGCGTAAGGGTGTCGATCGTCCGGTCCCACCTCCTCCTCAGAAGAAGAGCAAGGTGGCCTACTCTTGCCCTGGTCCACCTCCGCTGATCAATCGCGCCACTAAACCCAAGCCCCGTCCAATGATGTGGGCAGGGATTGCCTACAGGCCGCTCTGATGCCTCCCCCGCCTCCTGGCTTGGGACCGCAACGTCGCGGGCCTTCTCCTCCCCCCGCATTCCCAACGGGTCTGATGAAGACTTCACCTCATCGGTCCGTTCCTTCTTTTACTTCCGAGGGCCCCACCCAGAAGCAGGTTCTTGTGTCGTTCAGGGGTACTCCTCCCGACCTCACGAAGTTCTTCACCGAGTCGGCTGTCCGCGCAGCCAACGGGTACCTCAGGGATGGTCGATCTATGCTTAAGGTCACCTCCATCGTCCGTGCATACGACGGTTTGTCATTGGTCACTCCTGCTGTTGCCAGTCCGTCCGATCTGGACATCCTGTGCAACTTTATTCACAAAAGCCTCCCAACGGGTACCCCGTTCGAGGTCGCGCTTCCCTCATTGACATCTTTCATAAAGATCCTCGATGTTCCCTACTTCGACCCAAAAGGGTTGAAGATCACCCAGGAGGCACTTGAAAAGGCCCTCCGTACCTCGGTTCATGCTGAGGTTTTCGCATATCTGAGCACCAAGCCTCGGATCGACCGCAACTCGGCGCACTCGACATCGTGCACCATGTATTGCAACATCTGGGACTCCCAGCAGGGAACCCGTGCCAAGAAGGCCTTAGGCCAACCGATTTTCCTCGCCGGACGGTCCTGCACGATCAGGCCTGCTGCACGACATACCGGGGTCCCGCTCTGCCAGCGCTGCTGGAAATGGGGCCACCCCACCGTCGCCTGCAAGGCGAAACAACTCTCCTGCCCCATCTGCTCGGGTCCGCACGAACAGAAAGGAGCACCGTCAACATGCGGGATGTTGCAAGGGCAACGCAAAAGTGAAACCCCCTGTGCCGCCCACCCCTCGCGACCAGCCTTGCCCCCACAAGGGCCGCTGTGTCAACTGCCATAAGGACCACACCGCCAACTCGGCTTCATGCAAGTTCTGGGCCCATCGCTACAACCGTGAGTGGATCATGGCCGAGTATCATCAGGTACGTGAGCATGCTGCTCGCCGCCAACTTACTAACCCCCGAACCTAGACTAATGTTGGGAAACCTTCAGGATCTAAGTAGTGGGCTTCGTATTTACTGTCAGAATGTTTGTCATACCTATGCACATGTAGACACTCTTCTCGAAATTTGCAAAAACAGATTTGATATTTTATTTTTCCAAGAAACCCCTTGGAATTTTATAAGACACGCACCGTCCACCACTAGTATGGAGGGCGATGAGGTTATCGGTGCACCAAAGCATCCCGACTGGCTGCAGATGGTGCGCATTAAGGAAGGGGAAGTTCCCTGTGTGATCGCCTACGTTTCGACTAGGCTATCCCGCTATTGTCCCGCTATGCGTCGCGACATCGTCGACCATCGTGACATCCTCGTCCTCTCCCTCTTTAGCGGGGGTGAGGTTCTTAATCTGATGGACGTCTACTCTGACGATCAACACACAGCCATTGAGCACCTCGCTGCTCGTGTGCACTCTCTTCCGCCTTTCATTTATATGGCAGGTGACTTCAACTGCGTGTCAACGACTTGGGATGACTATGAGCATGGCGAGTCATTGACAGCAATATCCTTGCGGGACACCGCATCTCAGATCGGCCTCGAGTGGGCACGACCTTCTAACCATGGACCAACGAGGATCAGTCCTAATCCAAACCAGAGATCCAATGTCTTGGATCTTGTATTCTTAGCTCCATCTGAGATTCTAATCTCGATGCCCAGATTGGAGCATGATCTCCAGGGTCCGTCAGATCATGTCCCAATCTGTACAGATCTTGATATCAGTCCCGAACCACCCGGATCTGGGCGACGGACAATTAAACCCGGAAGCGAGGCTGAGAAGTCCTTCATTTCGGATATTCTCCGGGATCTTGCGGCTATTCCTGTCGCAGCCCCGGCAACCAAGGAAGGCGTTGAAGCTTTAGCCGATGCTATTGCGACAGTGTTCTCGGACGCATGGCTTGCCCACTCGACCGAGTCCAAACCTACCAAACGCTCCAGGTCCTGGTGGACGGATGAGTGCTCGGAGACATTCGTAGTATATCAGTTAAGCCGTTCGCTCGCTGATTACAACAAGTTTAAGAAGGTATGTAAAGATGCCAAGCGGGATTTCTTTGATGAACGCATCGCAGAAATCGCTACCTCTCGCAAGCATCCGTGGGACCTGATGGAGTGGGTCAAACAACGCAAGCTACCACCCTGTGAGGCTATTCGCAATGGCGACCAGCCTTGCCATGATATGGACGACCTGTGGGACGCCCTTCACAGCATGTACAACTCGGCCTCTGGTCGCGAGTACGATGCCTCAGTCTTAGACGAGCTTCCCGACGAGCCGGTCCGTGAGTGGGCTGACTTCTCGGAGCATGAGTTGTTGAGTGCCCTTAAGGGGTGCTCCAACTCCTCTGCACCAGGACCGGACCACGTTACATGGGTCCACCTAAAGGAGTTGCTCAAGGATAAACACGTCCTTGTGCTCTTCATCGTGCTGGCCAACGCCTGCCTTCAGGTGGGTCATTGGCTGCGTATATTCAAGGAGTCGCTATCGGTTATCGTTCCGAAGCCGAACAAGCCCTCCTATGCTGTGCCAAAGGCTTTCCAGCCGATCGTACTCCTCATCACTTTCGGTAAACTTATCAAAAAGATGATTGCCAATAGGATACAGTTTGACGCAGTCAAGCATGATATCTTCCATCCCAACCAACTTGGCGGTATCTGCCAGAGGTCCACCGAGGATGCTGGATTGATCCTGACTCATCTCGTGCGAGCGGGGTGGGTTAAGGGTCTCCAGACTAGCCCGCTGGCTTTTGACATCACACAGTTCTTCCCTTCTATCAACCATGAAATGTTCATGGCTGTACTTCGCAAGCAAGGGTTCTCGCCGGTTCTGGTGGAGTTCTTTGCCTCCTATCTGGTAGGACGCTCCACAGTTTACTGTTGGAACACCTTCCAATCCGACTCACGGTCTGCGGACGTGGGTGTCAGGCAGGGCTCTGCTCTCTCGCCTGTTATCTCTGGGCTGTTCATTGCTCCGGTAATGAAGCTCTTCTACATCAAGGCGGCGCCACTTAACATGACGCTGCTTTCCTTTGTGGATGATGGGACCATTCTGGCCCAGTCCAAACAACTTGATGATAATAATGTGGGCCTGCGTAAGGCCTACAAAATTATCTACCTGCTCTTTGTTGCTTTTGCGCTCGTTCTTGAACATGACAAGACCGAGCTGTTCCACTTTTCGCGTCGACGAGATGCCTACAATCCCTCGCTGGATCTGGGGTATGCCCCACATACTGGTGCTACACCTTTGAAGCCCAAGACCTATTGGAGGTACTTGGGATTCTACTTTGACTGTGGGCTCACATTTCATGAGCACGTTCGCTACTATGCCACTAAGGCGTTCACCACCGTGCAAGCCATGCGCATGCTCGGGAACTCTACTAGAGGTCTCTTGCCTAAACAGCGCTGACTCTTGTATTGGTCATGTGTGGTTCCCATTGCCACATATGGCTATCGTCTCTGGTATTTCGATGGCGCCCGTAATAAGGGCGTGATGAACCAGTTGAAACGGATGCAGCGGAAAGCTGCTCTATGGATTACGGGTGCTTTCCGCACCTCACCCACAGGCGGTCTTGAGGCCTTGGCGGGTCTCATTCCCGTCCACCTTATGCTGAAGAAGTTGGCAACGCGCGCAGTGTATCGCGTCGCCACCCTGGCAGACACTCACCCTCTTCGCTCCATGATGGGCAAGGGACTTCTTAAGCAAGCCGCACCACATGCCCGCTCAGCCGCCTTGATGACCCCAGCCATGCGAGGGAAAGTCAAGAGCACTGTTATGGAGGTGGACGAGCGTGTCCACGCTTTAACTGAGAGCTTCAAGCCCTTTGCACTCGAAGCTCGCCCAGGCGATCGGTTGCTGGACCGCTATGCGGACCGTCTCCGTTTTGACGAGTGTGATCCTGGCCAGGATAGACGCCCATATCTAGACAAGCTCATCGCGAAAGCGAGGGCTGACCCCTAACAGTACTGGCTGCAACTGATGGCTCTGTCCCTCAGTCCAACCAGTATCAGGCGGCTTCGGCTGCCATAATCTACAAGGGACATTGCGAGCTCGAGAGGACTCGCTATGTCTCTGGCAGAGTCACTGCCCAGATGCGGAACTCAATGCCATCTCGTGCGCAGTACACCTTGCTGTCAAGCAGGCAAACTGCCAACATATTATGGTCTTTACTGACTCTATGGGCTCGGCCCATAGAGCGGTTGACCCCAGCGTGCATTCTGGCCAGGCTTTTAGCCTGTCAGTTTGTCGCGCTCTTCAAGAGTGGTTTGAGGCGGATGATCTCCGCCGCATCACCTTCGTCTACGTCCCATCCGCTTTGCGGTGGGATATCCATGGTGAAGCACACAAGTACGTCACTGAACTTAATGTCAGGGTTGGACGTCGTAAGACAGACAACTCTATAGACACGCTTCGCTCTCGAGCTGCGCACTCAGTCCTGGATGCGTGGAATTCCACTTTCCAGGATCCAACTTACCAAGGCTCTGAATTTTTAGAGCTTCAACAGCCTGACGGGCGGCTACTACAGCCATCGTACCTCAATGGGGGACCTTGGCTTTCAACCTTCGGACACAGTATTACTGAGTTCGCCTGCGTTTGCCGGTGTATAACTGGCCACGCACCCATTGGAGCGTATTATCGTCGCTTCAAGATCAATGAGCCTCACGGCTGCACTTGCGGGGCTGCTCTGCAGTCTCGCCAGCATATTCTCTTTCGCTGTCGCGATCGCTACTCTGTGCATTACCCCCGCTTTCTTGGGGATATTGCAGCTTTTATGAAGTACAACCCTACGGTGTTTGGCTTCACCCGGGACCCTTCGGGGGTCGGATAATCGCTGTGGGCAGGGTTGTTCCTCCTTTTGGGGGATTTATGGTGAATTGACACCACCGAGCTCTAGGGTTTGAAGACCTGCGCCTACCGCTATTTCTTCACACTTGCGGCCGCTATTGTAGCGGGTTGCAGCGCCGCTAACGTTCTGTGTCTGGTCTTGGGCAGGCGCATCTTTGGCTTGTCGGCCTTAAGGCACCCTGCCACCTCCCGGGTGGTGCTTTTCTTATTTCATTTGCGCTGCGTGGCCTCCGAACAGCGTCCGACGGCTTTGGGGTTTAGTGGGGCCTCGATGGTCTCTTCCTTACTCCATGTCACCATTTTTGTGAGGTGGGTCTGGCTTTATGGGAGTTTAGGCGTTTGAGCCATAAGGCTCGTGGTTGGGGGGGCGGACGTCTTTTAGTAGTTCACTTAGTACCCAGGCCGCGTAGTGTACGTGTTTGTAGATAGCAAGCGGGCTGCCATCGAGCACCGCTATATAAATTGTTGATCAAAAAAAAAAAAAAAAAAAAAAAAAAAAGATCTAGACCACTTTGGGATGAGTCAGGTGATGTCACCTGATCATGTGAGGACACAGTCATGTGCAGTCATGTGGTCCAACCCCATATAGAAGTTGAGACATGTGATGGAAGTTTTAACACACCCCTGTGATCATAGTCTCAAAGTTATGAGTTCTTAC